GTCTTCTAATCAAAAGTCAGACTGTAGTTGGATTTTCTACCGTAGCAGTTCAATTTGTTTCCAGTAAGTGTAAGTCGAAGGCGCTATCCCCCAATCCAATGTCAAAACACAATAATTCTAGGAGATAGCGGTCTATATTATATTAAAATGGAAATACAAACCAATACCTGACTTTTGATACACTTTCCAAGTTCCAATTACTCTGAAGAGTATCCGAATTTAAAAAGAATAAGTGATGCTAGGTCCAACCGCCACAGTATCAAATCCAAATATAGCTGTAGCCATATTATATCAAATTTACACAAAATATGTACAGCTCAGAAGCAAACATAAAAACTTCAATATAAGTACAAAATATAGAAATAATAACAATATACAATGATAAAATCTCAAAATGGAATCAAATAAAATACCAAAATGTCAACAGAAAGAGTCCGTCATGTCATAACAAAAATATATAAACATGGAGGGATTTTCCAAAAAACAAAACATTCAAGAAGATTCTACAATGGCTACAGCCACATTTTTGGATTTGATATTGTTTCAAGTTAGCAGCCGATCTCAGGAGATCAAAATAAATGCGCAAAATAAATTTCCCGTTCTTTGGATTATTCAATTTCTATAAGTTGTCTTTGATATTATTCAATATTGTTAGTAGATGAACATGGTATTCGACGTTGAGGATAATTCTAGACATCTGTCATACACATTATCCAATTCAGTAGTAATGTCCTCAGATTCACTAGGATATTCATGAAATGCCTACAGCATTCGGTTCCTATTTATTTGTATAACTATGCAGACGAAGAAAGCAAATGAGTGAGTCAACAAACGGCGCCAGTACATGTGTGAAAACGATGAAAATCGTCAGTGAAAAGAAAGCTGAAACACGAGAAACCTGAAGCGCCGGCATCTGTGTGCACACCTATCACTTACATTATGCTTTAAAGTTAATTAATTTCACTTCATTTGAATAGATGGAGCAACTTATTGAATAGCAGTACTCACAACAGGCACCTACATTAGTTTGTGTTATTCTGAATTGGAAGAAGCACTCTCACAACATTTACTAGGTTAATTATTATTAGTGACTTCCTACTGACTAATTATATCGGCGTTTTTGTATATTTACTACCGAAAATATTCTCACTTCATTTCCTCTTTGTAATCTTGCACGATCAATACATTTATTAGATTGTAAAAATATGAACCATGCTGCAGAGTTATGTAAACCGTTCTTATGTAAATTGTCATTGACTAAAGATCACCATGACGTAATGCCTGATTGTCGAGGTTAAAGACGTCATTATTCGATGTGTCCGATTAGTGCTGTTAGAATATGGGATACTACTATTTGGCTGTGATCACTTCTAGTTGATGAGTTTCGTTATGCTGCCCAACTATATCACATGTAATTCATGTTCGTTTTGACTTCCTTCACTTCTGATTGTCCACAGCAAACGAATGTTGAGCGGAATTTCAAGTGATACTCACGGAGACCACGTACATGCAGTTAGAGCAACAGCAGCAGCAGAACAGAAAGAAACAAGCCAACAAATGTAGTCAGCACAGGTAAAAACACGATGACTGTCCTGTTGTCCTATTTGACTCGATTTTCAGACATTAATTGCTCTAATATGTACTCTACTACGCGGTTTAATGAGACCAGGAATAACCTTTTGGAAACTGAAACCGTTTGCATTAGCGGTGCGCGATGATAAATGAATTTCAAAAGAGTTAGTCGAGGAGATGAGTAGGGTGTTAAAGGGTTTGGGAAGTATTTGATTGTGACCAAGTCGATCTGGTGCGCGCTTACGGGTATTGTTGCAGATGTCGTCTGCTGGCTGTCCACACCCTCGAAGATACAAGTGCTCGTGGCCAGTCACGCATGATCTTTTTATGAAAGGTTTTCACAGTATTAGTTTCTCTCTTTTTAAAAGACCTCAGTGGGCACCCTTACCGATGGAGACGGAAATCCGTGATGTAAGGTTAAGAGTGAAACTTTTACGATCCCACTTTCCCAACCTATTTCTTCCTTGTTAGAAGGCAGCATTGCTGCAGATGTTGGTTGTCCGAGGGAACTCTCTTCATGCTTATTTGAGAGACAAATAAATTTTCTCTTTCACTCTTGTATTCATGTTGAAGTAACCAGTTTGGTGACAAGCACCTACGGCGTTTAGATCTTGAGCATTCACACATCATAACGGTAATCTCGCGCTTTTCAGGATGATGAACAGAATAATGTGTATGAAATATGAGGGTTCAAATTTCGGACAGTTGTTACTCAACTGAACATACGGATACTAAAACTATCCAAGGCAAACATTTATTCAGGTTCTTCAAATGCGTACATAAATACAAGCACTAATTCTTTCATCCCGTTGCAGTAATACATATCTGACTGCTACTCAGTGAGTAGCAGTCTAGTTACTAGTTTTCTATTTCTACATATTTATAAATCTTCTTCTCATTTTTTATATACACATACTCTCACATCAACAAATTTGCACAACTCAATTAAAACACATTATTAGAGAAAACAATTAGATAAATAAATCTCAATAACAACGACAAAAGCAACAGACAAAGAAAAATAACAACCTATTCAAACAGTGCAAGAAATTGGAATGTCTTGACTAGTCAGAAAAACTAATGGTTTCAGGAATTCATTGGAAGACAATTAAGGGTAACATCTAGAAGACACAAGTGTCTATTAGGAGTTGTTGACGTAAAATACTTCATATCCACTGGTCAGACAACTTAGGCGAAATACTACAGTGTCAGAGGACAAACCATAATGCAGCTGAGAAAGAGATTGGGAATGAGCACCGTAATCCAATAGGAAACACATTCAGCAATGCACCCAAATAACTGTAGGAGATGTTACATCTCCAGAACTCGCTTGATAAATATCCTCGTTTTCGATTTAGTTCATGGACCGATCAGTTGACCTTGAGATCACATTTCCTACCTCCAAAATCCTTGGCTGTGATTGATGACTGTGTCATTTTAGTGTTATTTTTGTGACTGTCACAAGCACGTCTCAAGAGAGTATAAATAAACGCGATTCGAGTGCTTGGATTCATTGTATGCTGACCAGGTGAATACACTTTCTACGCTATATCAAGACTTCTTGCTGGTACAGTTAGGACAATCGGATCACAGTAGCCTACCTGGACGCTAGATCATTGTTTTGTTCTCGTTATTCGACTCAGGTGAACTCGTAGATGTTTAAGCATACCCAGAGACGAGCGTAAAACTTAGTCACAAGACAGGACCTTAATCGGCATCCTCAAAGTCGAAGCAGAATTATAAGACGAGAAAACACAGTACACTGAGAATCGGAAGCAGATATGTGAAAAATGGACAACAGATGGACAGAATTAAAAGGCACGGCTCAGGACAGATTAGGTTGAACAATCTTGGTCGACAGCCTATTGTCCATTGAATGTAACAATTATTAGTATGTACGATACTTCAACATCGTCAACTTCATGTAGAATATATGAGTCATCAAAGCGAAGTATATCAAATTAAATTTTAGTTAATTTCGTGTCTAAATCACGTAATAAAATACGAAGAAAACCTAACTTATAAACTATCTTTTTTAATTTCGTGATAATATTCACAACAATTTTTTGGAAAAATACTTGAATCGATCTTCTGAAAATCTGATCACTGTAATCTAGAAAAATAATCAGAATTTGTAGCATTAACTTTCATGATTCTATCTATCATGACATCTGTTCATTCATAGATTTATTGAATAGATGCTAAACGATATTTTACAGCTTCTTCACGAATATTCTCTGACTCAATTATTCCTCGACCGACGATCATTATCATCGAGCATGATGGTGATGATGTTGATGAAGTGGTCGTTGTAAATCGTTTCTTCACCTGTTCTGGTGTATTGAAATTTTGACCTAAATCATCACTAGAATTCACAAGTTTTATACCTGTTCAAAAGAGAAATTAGAATAAATGACTTTTGTAGACGATGTTTGTCATTGCAGTATCATTATGAAACATAAGAAATAGAGAGAGGTTTTGTTTGCGAGTGTGAACTCATGATCAGTGACAACTGTCGATGTGGAGAGTGAAATGGTCATCATCCATATGACACTAAATGATCTCAACATGACATATTGTGAACGGATTGTAGTCTGAAATGTTGACAATCAGATTTCAGCTGAGTGGTATACAGGCTGAGTGTTTGATGGTGAGTAAACGATTTCATATGTATGTATAAACAATGCTTAGGGCAATTTCGCTGGCATCAAAGTACGTTTAAAAATAAGAAGCAACTTTTATACCAAGACACTATATCAATCCATGTTTATTGGATCTGGCCGTGTAGGCGCATGTACACTACAGGACTGAAGCCTTCCCATTTATCGCAAATAATCATTAAATACGTTATACAACATAGCGCAGTATTGATCATAACGGGTAAATTTTCTCAAAGTCATGAAATATTCATACGTTTATTTCACTATTGCTAACTCTACTTCTGTCAATCTAGTAGTAGTCCTCATATTTTAATCTTTCTCTGTGTTGATGAGGCTTGGTGACTTGAATCAATGCACAAGTGTGTCATGTTTCATGTTGCTTATGGCTGACTGAATAGTACGTGTCAACAGTAGTTGATTGATGATGAAGGCCTTCTACAAAAAAAGCTGAAATTAATTTTTCTTAATATACAATTGACAAGTTATTCAAATGAACAACTTGTTAGATAGAATAAACAGCAATCCAGTTGAATGTATAATCAATAGCTTTAAAACATTTTGAAATAATAACTAAATACTCAGTTGTATTTCACTGAATTCATAAATAAATCATTGGTAACCCAGCAGGAGAAATCTGAAAGCACAAGATGTCCGTTTCCTCCTAGGTGTGGACTCATCAGTCGTGTTCATCTATCACCGCCGCTATCGGTAATCGAACGTTTTTACAAGAGATTGGATCATGGATACTCACTGCTTATGAGTCGCATATTCAAAGGAAGTGGCTATCGAGTGCTTCCACGTGTTCTTATGGTGGTCTAACGATGATCGATTCATGGTTTCAATAAAAAAACAGTTTGTATAACTTTACAATGAAAAATTTATTGCATATCCACTGAAATTCCATAAAGGCGTGAGGAAAAGTTATTTGTAACACAATTTGAATTTTAATATGTAGTTCAGCAGCAGCAAGTATCAACATACATAAAGAAAAAGTGAAATTCTCCGACACAACACAACTTGCGCCAGCCTAATCTCTCTTGATGGAGATGCCTTGGAGGACGTTAAAACCTTTACATATCTGGACAGAAGCATCGACGATCAGGGTGGATCTGATGCACATGTAAAGGCACGGATCGGCAAAGCGAGGGCTGCATTTCTACAATTGAACAACATCTGGCACTCGAAACAACTATCAACTAACACTAAAGTCAAAAGTGTTAGTGAAAAATTCAAGATAAATCTACTGTATAAGGCGAAACATGGAAAACTACGAAAGCCATCATCCAATACATTCATGAATTCATTGACAGTTTTCTACACAAAATACTGAGGATCCATTGGTCAGATACCATCAGCAACAACCAACTGTGGGAAAGAACAAATCAGATTGCAGCGGAAGAAGAAATCAAGGAGAAGCACTGGAAATTGGTAGGACACACATTGCCGAAATCACCTAGTCGCGTCACAAGATGAGCATTCACTCAGAACCCTGAAGGTCAGAGGAAAAGTGGAAGACCAAAAACACATTACACCGAGAAATGGAGAAAGATATGAGAAGAATGAACAAAAATTGGACAGAAGTGAAAAGGGTAGCTCAGGACGGAGTAGGTTGGAAATCCTCGTAGGAGGCCTATGCACCATTGTGATAAAGGCGTGTGTAGGTATGACTCAAAGATTTTCATGCATATATATATATATATGATGATTTGTATGTTGCAAAACATTCAAATATATGCACATTCGTTGTTAATCTATGCTCTCTCTTATCAAGATCTTCCCACAAGTAGTAGGTAATTATAAGCACCATTGTAACAGTTCTGAAATCGCCTTCTTCACGCGGAGGTTCAGTCAACTTACTAACGAAATCCCAGTTCCTAAATATTGCGTCCGATAGAATATCTATGGATACTGTTACTGTTTTACTTTCTAACCATACTTAAATGTTTGTTATAAATATTCAATTATGACCAATTTTTGAATTATAACTTTTCGAATAATTTACATGTATCCTCTTTCAAATTTCACATTCTTTCTTGTTCAAATCATGAATCGATCAATGTTGAATTATCATTAGAAACCTTGAAGCACTGAGTGGCCGTTTCGTCTTAGTATGCTATTCATCCACGACTCAGCCTGCGAAGGTCGAGCCTAAGACCTTAGGTTTTGCACGCAGACGCTTATCCTCTGGACCAGTGCACTCGAATCTAACGGCGTTAATGTATAACTTCGACCCCTTCTTGTATCAACTTGATCATTCATGCGTAAAACAGTGTGTACTCAGTAGGAAATCACATCATATTACTGTCATTATTACATGACAAGAAATTGAGTATGTATATCGTGCAAAAGAAAAACACCACAAAACGCATTACCTGGTACCCAATAAGAAATATTTGAAGAACATATATTTAATCCTGGAATAGGATGTTGAGCTACAATACCACCAATAATATCTGTATTCGATATAATCAAATTACTGCATTGCTCTTGATATGATTCAGTTGTTAAAGCCCCCTGTAAATATACATATACATATACTCATTAGGAAAAATAACTTTCTTGAAGGGCTTAGGAATATCAATGGATTATAGTACACAGATGTTATGAATTACACATTTCTAACCAAATTAACAATAACAAAAGGTAATGGTAAGTAGTAGTTGTAGTTGTAGTTCTTTAGTCCAACCGCAGCTGCTACCTTGACGTGGTGGTCGGGCTTGCCTATCGTGATGACCCAACCGGGCTATATTGGCTGGAACCTATGTTCCTGAAGGTCCTACCATGCCAGGTAGGTCAATTCGTGAACGATGAGACTAAAATCAGCTACTCAAAGTCTGAGGGCGAAATCATAATGCTGAGTGAAGAGGGGTGTGTACTGTGCAATAGTTTGCTTCGTCCTACTTTATGGCTGTGAAACATGGCCAGTCAGAGTACAAGATATTCATAGGTTACTGGTTTTCGATCATAGGTGTCTTCGGAGCACTGCTCATAAATCCTAGGACAACCGAGTAAGCAATGCTGTCGTTAGGAAACGAGTACTAGTTAAGGATGGCAGATCAATAGATGAAGTAGTTGTCGGGATATGTGTTACGAATATTCAACCACCGACTGCCTCGTCAAGCTATATTTTGTGGTGTAGGAATAGGTTTGAAGAAAACTAGGGGCGCCCAGACCAAAACATAGCGGAAATGCATGAAGACACTGTTAAGTGGTCTGACTCATGTCTGTAGGTGTCCACCACCTGGTTGGGGTTCGCCAGATGATAATAATCGATGGTTAGAGACCTTGAATGACATGGCTCAAAACCGTTTGCAATGGTGCAGATGCATTCATTCTTTGTGTTCTCTCAAATCCTAATCTTCTGGCTTCTTCAACACATCTAGTTTCGTCTTTCTTAACTTATCTCACTGAATCAAACTTCTTGAATAATATCTTCTAATCCTAACCTCTCCGATTACTGCTGATACCTTTATCACCTCTACTACTATGGGATTTGAATTGAGAATTACATCTCCGTGCCATCATGGTATGGCAACATTAACTGATGTACGTACGTACATACGTACGAAGTTCTACGTTGCGAATGATTGATTGATTGAGCCTCGTATGATGAATTCAAACGATCGCTTACGCGTGTCTCTGAGACGCAGCATAGATCGATGACACAAGATTCTAGTCTTGGTTAAAAGAGTTATTA